AAATTAAAAACTATCTTTTTTTGAATTAATAATAAGAATTATTGAAATCATAAAAGCACATAAATATATTTTCATTTTCATCAAGGATCTATCCAATTTGATAATTTGCAAATTGCTCTTCAAAGGCTTTTCCTTTGTGAGCCTTTTTTCTAATGCAAAAATTGTAAGGCTTTTAAATAGGTCATTAAATTTGCTTAAGCCGTTTTCATCATTTTCCATTTTTCGAAGAAAAGGAATAGAAATAAATTAAACTGAATCAAATTGAATCACTATTAAATTTCCATTTGCATAGAAGAACTGATTAAAAAAAAACGAAAGATATCTAAATTTAAATACTTCCTTTCCTTCCTCTTCATGCCTTCAAAAGAAAACTCTTAATGTGGTGATTGAAAATCGATGTAATCTGTTATCAATTATCAATTGTTTTTTTTTAACCTGATTCAGTTGAGAAATTTAAAAAAATTTTTGAGGATTTATTAAAGAAAAATGTTTCATGTATGATAAAAAAATGTTTCATATGTGTAATGATTGCGGTAATTGAGAGAATTAATTTAATATTTTGTTGTGAACTTCTATTTTGATGTAAAAATCGAAGCATTTCTTCCAACGATAATAAGTTTATTTGTACGCTATTCATTTGTCGAATGCTTATTTACGAATTTGCATCACTAACCAAACTTTTTATCTCGTTGTTAAAATTTTTTTTTATTTATTTGATCAATCAAAATTCAATAACACATCGAAAAATGGTTCATCGTATTAAATATTTAAAATTATTGATAACTTCTAGGAAAATAGTAGCAGAGTAAAATAATGATCATGAATTTTATTCGTGATAGCAATAATGACAGTAAGTGATAAATGATCAAATCAATTGATCCTTGTGTAATTATCCTATTTCTTCTGTTAGATAAATACTTTGAAATAAATAAATTTAATTAAGAACAATTTTTTAGCAAACTGCAATTAGAAATTGAGCAGCCGACACATATGATATTGTTTCTTTAACAATTTGAAATTATAAATGATTTTAACATTTTACTGGTTAAAAAGCTTTTATCCATTTCACAATTTTGGCAATACCAATTTCTCGATTTAATCATTTCGAAGCCGCAGATTTAATTTTTGTCTTTAACTTCGTTTTAGTTATCCGTTTTTAAGTACCTTACCTATTTTATAGAATTCGACTATCACTTTTATCTTCTTTTTTTCTCCTAGAATTAAAAAAAAAACATTGACAAACATTTAAAGCCATGAACTTTTATAGCAACTTTCCCAAGAAATTGAATCTAATAGAAATAATAAAAAAAGCGGAACATCCATACAGTGAAACGATATCAATTTCATTATTCGAAATACTAAATTTTTCAAAATATTACCATCTTTTCTTAGCTTTAAAAAAATTAAATCATTTATACAAAAAACTGCCAGAATTATATGCTCGAAGTAGCAATACTTTGTGAAAATTTGACTTTTCAGCAAAAATAATATTCTCATCTTACAAAGTAAAATGGAAATTTTATATATCGTTGCATATTGTAATGAATCTTATCGATCATCTGATTATTTGTATTGAAAATTTGATATTCGTGAGTAAAAGTTATTAAAAATTGTAATTCGTTCCGATAAAAATTTCTATTGCCTTACATAATGATAATTACCAATAATAGCTGGCGGAAAAAAAAGTAACTGTTTCATGCCGAATGAAATTTGTTTTTTCGGAAAATTTTTTTAAAAAATTTCCTTTTTTTATTCTTCAAGCTAAAATATTTCTTCCACTCCAATTATTTCTAATTGCTTGCCCAGAAGTTGATTTTATCTTTATCTATCTTTACTTGATAAAAGCTTATCAATGATTTCAGTGCAGCAGCATTGAGATTACTACATACTTATGCACTTTTATTATCAGATTTTAGATCCATAATCCGATCAATCATATAGTCTAATATTTCAAAAAGCTCTAACTAAACTAAAATGAATTTATCATTTTACAATGGTTTTTTTGAGTAATGATTGAAATTTACGAAAAATAAAAATAGTTTGATTCAGTTTATCTTAATTTAACAAAATCATATGTGCTACTTAATAAACTTATCAAAAATAGATTCAAATTAATTTATCAAACACTATTTAAAAAATCTTGGTGGAATGATATTAGCTAAAGATCAGTTGAATCATTTTGGATTACTGCATTGTCAAAATATATCAGGAAGATTTAATCCCATTAAGAAAACATAACTGACAGGTGTAGTGATACTTTTTTATTTTCGCACTTAGAAAAATCATTTCTCCATCCTTTTTTTTAAAAAAATATATTCAGTCAGAAAATGTAATAAAATTTAGATGGAAATATGGAAGAAATGTCTTACCTTTAAAAATATAGCAAAAAATGGGTGGCAATAATAAAAGGGAACTGGTAGACATTACTTTGAAAAAGCGAATTTTTTGAAGAGTAAGTATTCGAGAGAAGAGTCTATTGAGCAAAATGAATTTATTATCTTCTCAGTTACACATGAAGAACTTATCAAAATCCCTAAATTTTATAAAATTAGGCTTCTATTGAGATTGTATGGCTCATAAATATGAGATCATCATTGGTGCTTGTTAAAATTTTATCAAGCATACAATTATTATCCAAATCTGCTAAATTTATCTGCCATACTGGCGTAAAAAAAAAATGTATAGCGAGCATGCTTATAGATTTTTATAAACTTTAACAATTATTTAAATTCATCCTTTTGTCGAAATTATCGATCATATAACACAATAGAAAATAATATTGATTGTGAATGATATGTATATTTTGCTATTTTTACACTTCAAAAAATTATTTCCATAATTTTCTGAACTATAACTTAAGATTTAAAAAAGTGGTTTCCCTTCTTATTCCTGGGGAGCTAAATTTACTCATTTTAAGTAGCTTATACAGATTGATTTTAATTTACTTTAGTAATACTAAATGGTGGTTGAGATGGATAATCAAATTATTATATCAAAATGCTTTATGCTTTTCTCCCTTTTAAGGATCATCAATCTTCTTTTGCAACATATTATATTACATTGATGAAAATTTCGCAAGTGGATTTCGGATGGCTTTCGGGCATGATAATGTCCATTTTAATCATTCAAATTTCATTCGCACATGCATATTACCGATTGAAAAATAAATTTCATTCAGCACAAAATAAGTACATAGCTTCAAATTCTTATTGCTACATCATTTGGATACTAAATTAAGTATAACTACAATTTCAGCAGGATAAACAAAAATGACAAATGAATTTCAATCTTTGAATTAAAATGCAGCATTATTTATAGTGTCATAAGAGATGTTGCATAAATTTTTCACGTAAAGATTTAAAAAAAAAAAAA